AAAAAATCATTAAAAAGACAAAGCCAGTGTAGGTCATGTTTAAGTTGATTTCAGAGATGTAAGTTACGTAGAGGTCTTGTTGGCTCTTCTGTGAACAAGAATTTCCCCACTGATCGAGCCTGAAATAAATTGCAAGGGTGAAGTATTGTACTGTGATATGAAGGATTCTAATCTCGGGAGAGGAGGAGACAATTCTGCTGAGCCTGCTTTCTCTGATAGCTGCCAAGGCGCTTGGAATTTGGGGCACAGACATACTGCAGTTTTCTGTGAGGTAATGTACCCGCGGATAGCTTTTTGGTCACTACCATTTGCTGGGAAAATTGCTGCCTGGACAAAGCTGAAGAAAAAGTGGCAAATATCCCAAAATTAGGTTGATCTTCTATCTTAAGTAAAAGAACCCTATGCATTATTACAGACAATATTCATTGTGCTTTGGGCCATTTTCACAGATACATGTAAAAAAGCCTGGATGATTTTCATAAGGTTGTATAAGCTGCTGCTCTAGGGAGGACTGCAACAAGCTCGGAGGTGATTAGATTTGGGGGTTACTTGAAAGCTAATTTAGAAACTGTGATGGGACTTGAATTTTATGACTAAAAGTCTGGTGTGAGGACTGGAAGGGGCAACTTCATACTTTTGATACGCTGAATCTGATACAAAATCATGTATCCTATCATACACTTTGTTAATGGCTTGCCAATGAAAGCCAAAGAAATGAAGTGCACCTGAGTCACGGGAATTTAACAATAATATGATCCATCATGTGGCCCTGAAAAAGCTATTTTAGGGAATTAGACTGTCATATTAGGCTATGTGTAATATTTATTTGCACCTTGTAAAATTCTTCTTGGCTGGGGTGAGTAACTTTTTGATAAGCAAATAAAATATCACCCTAGATTATACATTTTTCATTTTTTTTCTCACCCACATACTTATGTTCATTATGAAAGTGGAAGGTGAGGGTATACAGGTGAATATTTGTCACTGTTCTGGAGGATTGATTTCGGTAATAGCACACGCTGGGAACTTACTGCAATAACAGAAGTTACTCTAGTCAGTGACTGTCATTATTAACAGCATGAGAAAATCTGATACTTGGTCATATTTATAAGGGCTATTTGTGTACTGTGGTTTACTATGATTTGGGTCAGCTACTAAAATGTAATTTTTATTTTCTGACTTCAAAAAATGTGTCTTGCAACCATAATATCCTTAATGTCACCTGGTATAATTCAGTTGGGCTCAGTGCAGCTACATGAATTTATACGAGGTAATGATGTGGCCCGGTAAATGAATGGATGTGGGCAGTTATGAACTTGTTCAAATCTAAATTTCATCTAAATTAGTCTAGATCCACCCTCACAGGAGGAGATAACATTTCTATCCTATTCTAGGATTCAGTTTATTTCTGCTCTTTGCAGAAACTTTACCTGGAGGGTGAGTGTGTCTCATAGCGTGCACGTATCAGTGTCTTGTTCTCCAGTTTACTAATTTAACAGCTCATGAATCAGACTGCACAGCTCAGCACTCACATTGTGCTTCTGATAATCAGATATGGCTCTAATTACTGACTTTTGGCGGAACTTAACTGTGGTCATATGTAATGTCATATATTATTGACATATTGTAGGAATACAGGCAACAGAAAAAGAACTTGCAGGAATTTTATAACAGCTTTTCCATCATAAAACCTTGTATGTAGCTTAAGTGTGGCCTCCTTATTTGAAGGTATTTGCCCTTTTATGTGTCATATTGTTGAAAGATGTGTCATATTGTTGAAAGCTTTCTAAACCACAAATGTTCTCAGGTAAGGTGAGTGGCATTCAAGAAAGACACCTGCTTGGCCAGGGCTATTGGTACATGTGCCCAGGACAGAGCACACCAACTCAGAAGTGCTCACCACAAGGAGTCATACAGAGTTACTGAATGAAACTGGAACATACTGTAACTTCTGTCCTTCGAACCTTATATAAAGAAAGTGTACTCTTTCATCATTAGCAACAATACCTACAATGTTCCAAAGCAGGAAACCTTCATAGTCTCTGGTCAGATCTGTGCTTTCTCTTGCTTCCATTATCTATGAATTTTGGAGACAGCAAAGTTGACAAGTTATGTTGTCTTTTATGTTTAGAAGTACAACAAAAGGTAGTGCCTGTCATGTCAAGAGTAAAGCTGAACTAACAGGAGATGTATTTACAGAGTTTACTGACTTCTTCATGCAAAAATCAACTCTGGTGGTTTCCTTTTAAAACCAGATTTACATTTCTAAAGTTAAGTCAATTACTATACTACTAAAATAAACATACAAATCTTGCTAATGCTGATCGGTAATAGTGGTGTTAACTGACTTATTTCCAAGGTTTCTGTCAAATGCTTTTAAACTAGTTGAAAGTAGAAGGTGCAGTCTTGTAGGAATACCGTAGGCAATTATTAAAAATATTAATGACATCAATCAAAACATGCTTTCATGCTCAATCTGGCATCTGTGCCTTTTGTTTAACAAACTTTTTTCACTAACACTGTAAGTATTTCTTTAGAATTCTGAAATACAGTTGTTTGGGGTTTTTTTTCCCTAGTGAGACTTCATGTGCTTTGCATTTGATTTCATCCTTTGAGGTTCACATCTAAACATGGTACTGATGCAACAAACACTTGAATAGCAGAGCAGAGTCTGCTAAAATCTTGCCATTTTTAAGCAAGGCAGCAGCAAACCACTTCAATCATATGAAGATGGTTCAAAGATACAGTAGTTATGATGTGGGGGTTAAGATTTGGTACAAATGGAACTTCTCAAGGATTTTCTGCCCCTTCTCTCAAGAAACTGAACATTTGAAACTGGTTTGCCAGGTAGTGAATACCTAATCAATATAAAATGTTACCATACAATTTACTACTACTACTTCATGAAATCAAGTTTGGCAGTTGCAGTAAATAAAGAATTGTGGGGGTGTGCCTCTTTTAGTACCATCATCTAAAAATGCCTGATTAGTACTAACAAGGAAGAAAGACTGTAAAAGAATAAGGTGGTTTTTTTTTCCCTGTAACAAATTTGTTAACAATACCACTTGAAAAGCTCAGTAAAAGAATTATGAGAAAATGGTGTGAAACAAAGTGCCTGTTCTTGGAAGTTTTGGTAGCATTCCTTCTGGAATCTTTGCTTAATCAATGTCTTAAGTATACTGGGAAGGTACACAATGCTGTTGGGTTTATTTAGGACCTTAGAAAAGGTCCTGAAATTGCATGTGCAGAACAATGCATTGTTGCTTGTAAAACATATAGTATGTTTATTAAAATAGGGGTGATACCAGTATTGGAATTTTTCCAAAATAAATCCTTCCTGTTTAGGTTTTTCTCTTCCTTTCAGTTCCTGGGTAGGTAGAGTATTTTGATGCAAGAGTGATTGTAATTACAAAAGTGATTCCTTTCTAGAATTAATTACCCTCAGAGGCTTCTGGAGATGATCATCTAATGATTATGGAGCACTTGCGTATATGTAGCCTATACATAAAAGCAATAGTTTGTCACAGATGCAATAGGGAGAATTAGGAGTAAGTAGTGAAGGAGGTATCTACTGCTCTGGTCACTTCAGCTAAGATATGTGTGAAGCCAGGTCCAGGCTCTGAAATAATTGAACATTAGTTCTGATTTCACAGTTATGGCAGTAGAAGGACAGAGATAAGAACCCGAATTCTAGAAGTGCTGAATAATTGCCATTTTTGCTGATTGATAACATCCATTACATTGCAGCACTCCTAAGAAGTTGGGTACCAAGGAAATCCCAGTTTACTTTCTTGATTGCAGCCTGCTTTTAGACGTCACACTGGCCTTTCTTCCCCTCCCAAACTAGGTGCATTGTGCGTTTTTAATTCTCCTTTCCTGTTAGAGATCAAGATACATGTTTGATTTAATTGGAATTTCTTTTTGCAGCCTTGCAACAAGACTGGATTAACAGTTGAATTATCCATGCACAACTTCTTCAAAAGTACTTCATATTTTAGCTAGACTTGGGAGCAGAAATAGGAGGAAACACTTCTGTGTTATGGGGTGCCTTTAATGGAATTGAAGGGACAATTGCTAGGGAACAAATTAATCGCAGGTTATTTATTTAACAGAGTATATTATTGAAGTTAAGCTTGGGTGACTTTTTGCAAACATATAGCAACTAATAAGTGCAAATTGGTATTAGCATCTTTAAATTGGTGGAGAAACTACTGCTTTCTTGGTCTGTAGGCCATTTGGCAAGAGAGGCAACTTACTGAACTATTCAGGACTGGCTTGATGGCTCATTTTTATGGAACACATGAAATAGAAATTTATTCCCCTGGCACAACATGAACACTCAGTAAATGCCTGATAACAGCACAGTCACCTACTTGTTTGTAGTTTGTGTTCAGATTGTGAAACTAGTTACGGACAGTCCACTTCATGTGTGTAGGTAAAACGCATACTACTCTGAACGGCATGTTTGTAAAAGCCTGTATTTGTAGGAACACTGGGATGCTGTAGCACTTGAAGGAAGTGTGGCTTGCCACTGCATGCCATAAGATGGCCAGAAGGCTTTCTCCTTCATTTGAAGTTCTGTATTTAAACTTTACCTCTCTGATTTCTCAAGAGAACTTAGCTGAAAATCAGTTAACTCTCTTTTTTATTCCTGTTACTTTGGGTTGTGTTCTAATGATTTTAAATCCTTAGTTAATTAATATCAGCCAAGATAGTGACTGAATTGGAAAGTTTTGTTTAAAGTCTTAGAAGTTTTACTATTCCTGTGTTGAATAAGTTTAGGATATGTGAGATTGGGGATAGTAGGAATAAAAACAATACTGCTTTGTTTTTTGTTTATGTAGATAGATATTTATATATATAGGGTGTATGTGATGTATATATGTATAAAAACATCTTTTGAAATGCCTGTTTTCTACATTTTTACCATTAATACATTCATGATTTGATTTTTTTTTTAATATTTTTTGTTCTTCTTGTTTTGGTTTGGTTTTTGAGTTTCCATTAACAGTACTGTCTGGTTATCATTAAGAATTACCTGATGAACTCTTTCCTAGAGTCTCAGAGGTATAAACGAGTAAGAGCTGCAATCAGACCATCCAACACATCTGTTTCAGGTGAGAAATAGAGAAGTCTATAAAACCTAAAGTTTCTTTTAAAAAACAAAAGAAATTATTCAGTTTATAACTTTCAAGGTGGCAAAGAAAAGAAATGCAAAGGATATATAAACTACACGTCATCAGAAGAGCAGACAGCATACCAGAGCCATTAAGTAGCAGATGAAAGAGCTAGAGCTGCTATTGATATGTGTTAGAGGGAAGAATGGGTATGTGTTTTTCTCCCTGCACATGTGTTTGAGTGACGTGCTGACCGATACTGCTTGGCAAGTGGGTAGAGTTATATGATTGTGTCATTGGTTTTAGGTTGTCGTATAAGATTGTACAAGCCTGTTTGTGATGCTGGATGCTGAGCAACACCATTGTAGTTGTGACTAAAAAGTTCCTGCTTCTAGGAAATTCTTAGTCTAGAATTAATCAATTTATCATTGAGAGTTCAGCATTGACTAATCTGTGGCAACAGAATTTATCTAGCAAAAAGTTGGGACTATGGGAGAGCACATGTTCTAGCAATGATTTCTTTTTCAGTTTAGCAGTGATTTATTTTTCAGTTAATCACAGATACTGTTTTGTTACCTGTTCCAAGGCAAAAAGATGTTTCCCCATACAATGAAGATACATTTACAGAATTGCTGATATTGAACAAAAGAACACTTAGAGTTTGATTCTTCTGAATGAAGAACCTGTAAAGCTTGCATACAATTTTCACGCATGAATTTGTTAGTGTCTATACAGGAAGAGTAAATCAAAGGAGAGAGACCTAGCGCTGTGAAATGTGCTTCCTACAGCTGCTACAAATGTAGACCATAAAATTGTTTCTAACTTTCAGTGGCTTTACAGCCTGTGAGTCTTTTTTTCCCCCAGTATATCTCCCTTAGTATGATGGGAGATAGGAGAAATGAGTAAAGTAAAATGAAAACATTATAAAATAATCTTTATGTTTATATTCAGTACTAGATGGTCAAAGTACAGATAGCACGTATGCTTCAAATTCTCTCTATAGAAAGTTTGCAAACTGCCACCATGTCACAAGTGAAAATATTAAAACTTGTTGCTAGGTGCATTGAATGCTGTTAAATGGTACAGTCTTAGTCTTCAGAGTTGTAAATCCTCTGTAAAGAACTGATAGAGTTGGCAGCTATAAAACATATACTTGACATTGTTAAATTTTTCTAAGTAATAAAAGCTGGGTGGTGGGGGGGTGGGCAGGGAGACTATAAGGACTGGTAATAGTGGGAGGTAGGCTCTGAGCTACAGTGCTTTGGTACACTGCAGATGGAGAACAGAATTTGGCTAAACAGAGCACAGAATCTGTACCAGATTTGGTCTGTTAACCCAAGACTGGCTTCTGAAGTTTGGGATGCAAGTCCAGGAGGACTGCTACACTTGATGGAGAAGGCTGGAGGCCAGGTGACAACATGAATTTCTAGAAATACTTTCTGGACATCTCTGTATATGGGGAAACAGAATTTGTTGATGCTTTTCTAATTAATACCAAAGAACACATGTGTTTGAGCTAGTACTTCCTGTGTGCTGTGATGGTATAGAGGACTGATATTCTGATAATTTACTAGCGTTCCAGGAATACACAGTTGTGAAAACAATGCTCCTTTTAGTTTGAGGAGCAATGGGCAGACTGCTCTTTGTCAAATTTGGTTTTTATTTTAATAATTTTTTTTTAGGGTGGAGTTTTAATTTTTTGATGTCATCATGAAGAGCAGGATACCTCTCATTCTTCTGGCTTGTGGATCCTTTAACCCCATCACAAACATGCATATGCGTTTGTTTGAGCTGGCTAGAGATCACCTGCACCAAACAGGTCAGTAAGGTGTGTTAGGACCATACACACAGTGTTTTACTGTGAAAAGGAAGAAAGATTTTTAACAGTCACTGTAGATAAGCTGTCACTTTACAGTTGGCTTAAGTTTAATGTTGTTTATTGATCATTCAACATGAGGCTTTCACGGCATATTCCATATAGGTCTAGCATTACCTTTTCCTTTGACTCAGTACATAAACAAGTATCATAATGAGCATTCCTGCAAATAAAGTGAAAGTTTTATCAGCAGTTTTAGGATCATATTCATGGAACAGACTAAGCCTTGTGGAAGAGTACGCTTAACAATTTTGAAACTGAGAAGAAACATTTACGTTCAAATTTCATGCATTTATGATACATTGTATTTTACTATGAAGAAGTGTTACAGTTAGCAGTTTTGACAGCCAGATGAAACTGGAGAAAAGATAAAATGTTAATTATTCATTATCTATCTTCACTAGGAGGTACAAGTTACCTCCCCTAGCAAAATAATTTGGTCATAAAGGAGATCAGAAAAGCTAGATGTCAGCAGGCTAGAAGGTTTCAGCAACTAAGGAGAAAGGTGGGTAATACCAGGAACTTAAGCAAGGATCAGAAAAGCTACCGAGAAGCATTGAACTCCTAAGTTTGATCAACTACTTAGTTGCTGAGGCTTTTTTTTTTTTTTTTTCCATCTGTCAGCTAAAACATATGCATATGTTTCTGGAAGCGGTTGGAAGGGAATCATAGTTTATTGGAACCTGGCAGAGAAGTTCCTAGGGAGATGGTTCAGTAGGAATCTGAACAGAAAATAGTAGTAAAAGGAATTTGGCTGTCAAATTGTGGGGAGGAGGGGGTAGAATCTGTGCAGTAAAAGCAGCAACTACATACTCGTCATATACGGTGAGAAGACTTTGGCGTTCATGAGGAAGAAATACATAACTGGCTCTGAGGGCTGCCTGTACAAGTCTCTATTGTAACTGCAAAATGATTTTGTTGCTCCCACAGGATTAGAAATAAAGGGTTAAAAAGGGATTTGAATTGGCTTTTCTCACTGTAATTTTATAACTGCCCCTGCTGCCCAGGTGTGCAAGGAGTAGAAAGGTGATGTGAGACCAACAGGTACTTTTGTTTAAGTCGTATGTTATAGACCAGTAACTTACTTCTTTACCTTGAAAGAAGGATTGAAATGGGGAATTAATTATGATTCTGCCTGGATCATAATGCATTGTCTGGTCTGCTTTCTCTGTAACAAACTCTCTACCCCTTACTCAGAAGTTTACCTAAGTCTATTGAAAATCATACTTAAAATGAAATTTTTAAAGGCTGAAATGAAAGTTGTGCATTACATTGCACCTCTCTAACATCAGTGCTTAGTTCTGGATAGCATGTGACTTGCCTTTTGACTAATTAGTTTAATGTGTGGAATCTTACTACTGTGCATACTTCATGCATTAAAGGAGACTTAATTTGTGTCTAGGTTGCCTACAGTGTCATTGTACTTTCTGAATGCTTAAGCAAGGATGCCTGCAAACCAAGAATCCTCAATTAACTTGTAGAAGCTTTACCAGTCCCAAGTAGAGGTAGCATTATTTGAAGTAACTGTAAATGTAGATATATGTGTTTTATATGTATGGATACATACAATCTGGTATGTGGTCTTTCTTGCTATGGTGAAGACAGCTTCTCAAACAGAAGGGGTTGGCAACATGCTATAAAATGATTGATTCTGGATGCCTGTTTTATGGCAGAACCATCACACACAGGAAATTAATTGGTTATTCTCTCATGTTTTCAGTCCTGTTTCTACTTGTGTAGTTACCCAGTGAAGGAGAGGAGAAATTGGAACTTACTTGCTAAGAAGCACTAGTTGCAGACTGGGAGTTGATAGGGGGGCTGGAGGACAGTGGTTATACATGACTAAAGTTTGTTTGAAGCAAGGTAGTGGTCTGCCATATTCATACTGATTGCCTTCTCAGTGAGAACAATACATTTCTGAGCTAATGTACACACTGAATAACTGAAAAAGTAACTAGCATGAGTGAAAAATTAACTAGCATGAGGGGTGATGTTTCCTACCTGTGAGAATGACTTACTTCTGGTACTACTTCAGTATTTCAGCTTGATCAGAAATCAGGCAAAAATGATGAGTTATGCAATAGTTTGGCTGGAGTTGGCTTCACGCTCAGATTTTACTGCCATGAATGACTTAACTATCCATGATGTGCGTCCTGACTGATATCCCCAGTAATTCTGTCTGCCAACTTTTTGCACATCACTTTAGTTTCAAATGCTGTCTAATCTTTTTTTCCATACATACTTTTTCATCGTATTTCATACACACATTCATACATTTCATACATACAAGTAGGGAAACTTACTGATTTTCTGATACTTTAAGCTGTATCTGCAGTTTCATTGCCACGTGCCAAGTAATTGATGCTTTTTCTGTTAATATCGGTCTACAGATCTTGTCATGCCACTTTTTAAATACAATGGGTGTAGCTACATGTGACTGAATAATGATTCTCTTTTATCTGAATTTTGCGTCTACTCTTGTGCATTTGACTCTTTACACATCCTCACCCATAGCTAGAAACTTGTTTCAGAATTGTTTCTTGAAACTTGCCCTGACTGTGGCAAATGCCTTTCCAGTCTGTTAATAGCTGATGCCAGATGCTTTTATTTTTCTTTGACTGTATTTCTCTTTTGACCATAAAGTCCAAAGAAATAGTACTAGAATCAGCCGCTATCAGATGTTTAAAACCTTGTTTCCCAAGTATTGCTAGTGGGGGATACTTGCATCACCAAGTTTCCAGATGAGACCACAAGGGATAGAGGACAAAGGAGGGGGGTATGAAATGCAAGATGTTTCTATCTGTGACAAGACAGATGCAAAGTGAAGGAAGATCAGTTACTATCTTATGAAAACTTGTGGAAAATGTGACACAATCAGTGCATTGGGTTAGATGCAGCACTGGGCAGCAGAGCTGAGAAGTCCAGCGAGTAATTAGTCACTGACTAACCAGCGTTGGGAATTTAGAAGTTTATGGTGTTCAAGGGCTGCATCTGATTAAAATGGACTGATAGTTTCAAAAACGGGATAGGAACAGATTGTAACAGCAGCAAGTCAAGATAAATGCACAGATAAAGATTTGTTTTCCTGCAACAATTCTGATAACTGGAATTTGAAAACAACACAAAATAATCCTGGTCTGATCCTACTTTTTTGCTAGTGTATATAGCAATACAGATATATGATTGGAATAGGATCAGATCAGCAGTAGTTACCAAATATACAATAGAGACAGTTAAAATTAACTGAACTTAAAAATTAAAAGGAAACTTTTTTTACAAGATTTACTGTGGTGCTTGCTTAAATAGAGCAGTGTGTGGCTATTTTTATTAGGCACTACCCTAGAAAGATGCATGAAGAACAATGTATGTGTGGCTTAGTGTTCAGAACGAAAGTTATAGAGTGCAATTTGCAGAGGTGCAAATCTAAGCAACAAAAGCCTAAGTCTTAAGACATCTCAAGATATACCACATCCCTAAAGAAAACACTTCCGTTACATAAAATTCAGTTTTCAGAATACTGTTATCAGTGTATACAGTTCAGGTCCTAACCTTTTTCTGAGTTTAAGGAATGCTTTTCTAAATGGAAGAAGTGTAAGCATCTTTTTGTTCCACAAGTTTCGTTGTCTTACTCTAAAACCCAGCAGAATAAGGGGTGAATGTCCCGTGCTCACAGAGGTATTTGGGTTATGCCCATATATTTGACTTTGGAATACTAGTCATCTGTTCTGTAGCATCTCTGAAGAAAACCATTGCTTCCCAGTGATGTTACATGGCAAAAGTCAGCTTGGATGAGAGCATTTCAGAATCAGGTGTCCTGTGAGTGGAGCTACAATACTTTTATTATTCACATTCTTACTCTCAAGACAGTGGTTTTAGCCTTCCTTTCTGGAGGAAATACTCGTTTTCATAGATGTCAAGAAACAGCCTTTCCTTTTTGTCCAAATCAAGTGAACTGTTGATGGTGTCTGTAAAGTGAAGTTGTATTTGGAGGTATTCATACAAAATGTTTATTATAGATGCGATCAGCATTAATTTGGGGACTGATCGGTGTGCATGCTCAGTTACTTAGCTATTGGAGGAGAGTTCCTGAAGTAGCAGTGTATTTGTGTGGCTGGCTGACTGCAGAGGTAAATCTGTACCTTCAGGCTGTGTAGTTCACTCAGCCAGGTGGATATGATTTATGTTTGTCTAGGTACTCATATGGCATCTGTCACTACAATTTTTGCACACTTCATCCAATTCGGTGACTGCATCTTTCAAGGGCTCCAAAGTGGTGAAGGTAAAGTCATCCATCCTATGGGGAGCTATCCTAAAAGATTGTCCCTTACTGCTCTGATGTATTTGTTGCTTATGTTGACTTTGAATGCAAGGATTGCTGAATTGTTTGCCCTTTGATTTTTTTTTTTTTTTTTTTTTTTCCTTCTGTTGAATTCCCCTCACAGAAGGTAACTGAACATGAAGTTTGAAAAGTCTTTCCTATTTTCTTTTTTCATGCTTAGCAATCTCTACATACGCGTCATGGGAAAGTAAGCACTGGATAGTATCTTTCTGAAATTTAGTCTGTAAATTGTTTTGAACAACTCAAATTTTGGGATTACTGGTATCTAGTCGTTACATGGTGGTTTTGTTTTTGTTTTCTCCCCTACATGTTATCTGAACAAAGATATTAGATATCCCTCCCTCCACCCCAGTTAATGACAGCCTATAAATAAAATTAACATTTGGGTTTAAATGGAACAATGGAAAATTCTTGTATTATTCACCTAGCGTTAGTAGGCTGAGAGTTCTGGAAAGGTAACTGTTGATTTCTTCTGGGTTGAAGGGAAACTATTACTTCAATACATTAAAATCACATAATAATCCGTATGTGTAGTCACACATAAAAGGCTGGTAAAAGAAATTAATAAACCATTTAACTAACCGTATTTGTAAAAGCAAGTGTGCCAGTGGTTATTTCAGTGAAGAAATGAAAACTTATGTTAATGTAAGGTCTTTTTGCATCTCAGATGGTTAGAACATGAGGCTGTATTGTAACTATTTTCCAACATTTTTCACTTCTGATAGCAAGTTTTACATCTTTTTACATTTTGAAATAGCTGCCACTTTCCTCACAGAGGAGGACTGACTCCTTGGCAATCAAAGTGATTTTTGTTATTTATTTATTTGATGTTGTATAGATACTATGCAGTAAAATTTAAACTGTTCATCAGCCTCATATCGTTTAATCTTAGATATGTGGGTAACTTTATCCCCTTAGAACAGGCTTAATTAAGCAAAGAAAAGGTTTATTCCTGGACAAACCTTCCAGAACCCAAACCAAAAATCTGTAATCCTATGCTCTGCAGTTGTTCACATTAATGCACTAATATGCAGAAGTTAGTCTCTTGTCTAGTGCTGAAAAGGGAATTGGGGCAGTTTCCAGTAAGTCTGATTTCTAATAGTAAATACTACTAGATGAAATTATATCTTTAAAAGCCCTGCAAAAGTACACATATAATTTTATATGAAATTGGCATTTGATAAATATGATTTAGTATTAATAAGCTAATTCAACATTACAATTTGTGTTAGTGGTTGACAATTTGCAGTGACCTTTATAACAGAATACTAAATACATGTTTTCAGTAATAATACCACTTTAACATGTTTGAGGGACATTTTTTGTTTTATTATTTTCATAATATTTAGTTTTCTAACTAGTTATCCTAAGTAGTTCTTAGAGGATGTAAGTTCATAGCAAGAGGAAATTTTTTGCTGCTTTTGATAAATATATTTTGAAAAGCAAAGCCACTTAAGGGCCTGGAGGATTTTTACACATACTTAGGACAAGCAATAATAACATACTGCATGATGAGAACAAATAGCATTCTAAAGAAATAGAATTTTAAGATAATTCTGGACCAAGGAGAGTTTGGAACTGCCTGTGATAAATTATAGGTCAGAGAAGAGAATTGCAGTGGAAATGAGAAAAAAACAAAACAAAACAACTCAAGATGGTAGAACTTAATTATTTCCTGCTTGCATGCCTCCCAAAATCAAGGGACATATTTGAATAGGAGAACTTTCAAATTACTGAAGAGGACAGAAGTTATTTAGAGCCAGTAATAGCATATTTTCCTACGTTTTGAGTGATAAAGCTTGTATTTTCAGGTGGAAGGTTCTCATGTGCATCATGTTTGCATAGTGCTGGGTTACTCAGTTATTGTGAATCATCTCAGAGAGTTACTGTGTTTGATTTTTGGTACTTCAAGTATTAGCAACCTTGATTTTTTTCCTCTTCCATTTGGTTTCATTTCTGCTTTGGAACAAACTGATATGACATCAGAAACTCTTATCTCATCCAATTTGTGCAGTTCTAGGCCGGACTAGGGATTGCACTCTTTACAGCTCACAAGGAAATGGCAGAGTTGCGGTCATTCTTGGCTAGCATGTTCTCACACAATTTTAATTTTTCCATTTAATATATTCATTTAAAATATAAAGAAACAATTTATATCTGTAAAAGCTGAAAAGAAAGGAACTGAAATGTGGAAAAGAATATTATTCTCTAAGGAAAACCTATTAATAAGGGCAACGTATCAGTGAATTCAAACTAATTTCTTTCCCTTTAAATGAGAATTTATTATAGCATTGTATATTATCAAAGTATCAGAGAATAACTGTTGTTCTTATGTCAAGTGAAAATATTTCCAGTTTCAGATCAAGGGATGAACTGAATTATATACATACCTATGTTTCTGGAAAATTTTATCTTGCTCTGTTGACCATTTTGCCTATAAGAACAACGTTTTAAAACAGAGGATAGTTTGGATTGACGTTTCAGCAGGAGACAGGCCTGTAAATCTCCTTGAATTTTAATGCTGTTTTTCAAGTCCAACTGGCCATTTTAGAATATCCAGTTGTCACGTGCCAGTATCAGAAATTGAGTCCTGGGTATCATTTTTATCACAAAGCAATAGAGGGAACTTACTGCATTCTTTAAGTTTCTTTGTTGAAACAATTGAATTAGGAAAAAGGAAGAGGATTTTTTTCCTCTTTCAGTATATTTATCATAGTTATTTAAAATGCATGTGTTACATTAGAAATCATTTTGTTTCATTTCTGTTTATTTGCAACACCCTTTCTCTGCTCTGTTTCTTGAGGGATGCAGCTTATAACAGTGCTTTGTTTCCCTGTAGAGTTATTAAAATGAGAGCTATGTTTTTGTTTCCTGATTTGAGACTACAACTGTCAAGTCTAACAAAAAGATCTTGTCATGTTAATGATTATGTCGTGTTACAGGAGTAGAAAAATGTGGGCAGATTTTCAAATTTAATTAACATGATCAGACAGATAGAAAGGGTCTTTAATGGCTGCTAAGCTGATGTTTGGTGCATAGTGCTATAAGTCTCATTTTAGACTCCATTAGCCCCATCTTTGTTCTTGAATCTTCTGATTTGTCTGAATCTCATTAATCACAGCTGCAGTAATATGTTATAATTCTTGCTTTAACACAATGAAAAGGCACAATGGTTTTGATAAATAACAGGCATCAGGTGCTTAAGAAAAAAGCAGTGGTCAGCTAAGTTATCCGTTGTTCTTGCTATATAAAAGCTGTATTTGCTACATACAGTTTTATATTCCAGTATTTTTGAAAGTTAGCATCATAATTTATAACCATATCTACTTGCCTGAGAATTGTGTGTTCATCCAGCTTTCCTTCTTGAATCATCTAATAGGATAAACATATTGATAGTAACTGTGGGCAGTTCACAGAGGGACAATAAGGCGGCTTTTTAACTTTTTAAATTGCTCTTTCTGTATTAAAATAATACCTAGATCAGGTTGTTCATAGCCTCTCATATCTTTAAAGTTAAATGTGTTTTGAAGAGGTTGAACTGGGTGAACACCCAGGGTCCTGTGCACCCTAAATTTTCAAGAGTCTGTGAATGTGATTGATTTTTCTTTTTTTGTTTTTTTTTTTTTTTTGAAAAGGAAGGTATCAGGTGATTGAAGGCATAATGTCTCCTGTTAATGATGACTATGGAAAGAAAGGCTTGGTTTCAGCAAGGCACCGGATAGCAATGGCTAAACGAGCACTGAAGACATCTGATTGGATTCGAGTTGATCCATGGGAGAGTGAGCAGGAGACATGGACAGAGACAGTAGAAGTATTGCGGTAATTACTTTTTTTTTTCTCTTATTTTCTTTATGAAGTTACTGATTGCCAAAATTCTGTCAGGCTACCAGATCAATCCAAACAACTCACTCATGTAAAACACCCAAGCTAAGCAGAACATGTCTGTTTATGGCATCATCTGCTATGCAATAAAGTATTAGATCTGTGAGCAATGAAAATTCACATCACCTTCCTTCAGAAAGGCTGCTTAGTCAGTATTCCCCATCTGGAGTCTTTCCTTTCCTAGTGCAAAGCAGATAGGCTTTCCTCACACATAAGCAATACACCACAGTATTGCACTTGTGCCATTTAAGTAGTGAGGTGCATGTTGAAAGTCTCTTCCAAGAAAGGGTCTTGCAAAATTGTACTGACTGAAAGAGTTCAGCAGTAAAGTTCTTGGCTCTCGTGTTATTTCTCTTGTTTTTAAGTCTAAGCAGGTAGTATAGAGATCTTGGAAAGTAAGAGACTTTACAAACAAACCTATTCTTCAGGAGCTTCCCTATTCCAGATTAGCTATGTTGGCATTGTTATTATCTCTGCAGGTTTATCTATTCATGCATCCCTGAAAAATTTTCTTACTAACGCTAATGGCAAGTTCAACTCAAGCCCATAACTGCTGATGTTTTCTTCAAAATCACAGTTTACTGTGGTTTTCTGCTGGAAGGAAAACCAAAACAATTTGTCTAAAACCAGTTAACTTGATGTAGGGACCTTGAAATGTGCCTTTTTCCCATGTGGTTTGTCTTGGTAATAAATACATTATGGTGCAAGGCATGAAAATGCAAAGTTCATGTGCTAGCCACTTTTTGGAAACGAAGATGCTACAAAAATCAACATATTGTTAAAGTGAAAGACTTCATGGATGTCTTTCAAAAAATCAAGTGTGCTGTAAGATCCATCAATGATTCTTCATTTCTATCCACACTTTCTAGGTTACTTTCTAACTGGAAACAGTTGTTTGTATAGCTTAAGGCTCTAAAATGTGCCTTCCAACAACTGCCCTGAAAGCCCTTAGAGCTCTGTGTGAAAGCAGTTAAAAACCAGACCTGTTACTTTACAAAAGCATACGTAAGAATACCTTATGTACTTACAAAAAACCCTAGTAGAGCCTTTTAGTTCTGCTTTTATTTTCATTGTTGAGTGAACATAGACATCCTGCTACTTCTTTTGCCCCTTCCCTCTGGCCAGCAGAATAGCATCAGGGTGGGAGGAAGACTAGACAACACTACCCTGTCTTTGCAGAAAACTTCTCTGTTCTTTTCTCTAATCACACTTGTATATTCCAATGTGAGAAATCACAGAAAGTTCTGTCTGCAGTATTGGTTGGGTATGAGATTTTTCTCTTAAACTTCAGTTTTGTAGAACTATTTTTGTCCAGAGAAGCAGCAACAGATCTTACAGATCAGGTGATCCTACTTAGAAAGGCTTTAATTTTGCACAGGGCCAGCTGAAGTGACTATTACTTGCAAGATTGGGTTTGTAAATTGTAAGTCTACTTCAGAGTCCTTTAGTATAAGAGGGACAATAAATAAAATCTGTATGTATAATTTTCTGCTCAGGGAAGGTGATATCCATGTGGTATGAACAACCCAGCTTCCTGTTGCTCTAGAAAGTGAACCTCTAGCTTTATAAATAAATTCATAAAATGTTAAAATGGATGCCTGTTACAGAGAGAAATGAATTTAAAGCATTTTTTTCTCAATTGGTGACCTATATTAATGAGCTGAACCAGTGCCATAATCTGATACTGAATCCTGTCCCTTGAATGGGGAAGAAGCATCCTGATGAAATAGGACAAGCAGGTGTTTTGGCTATATTATTCTATTTTAACTGTCACATTTGAATATAAAAAAAAAAAAAAAAGTGGCTAGATCCTTACCCAAATATAAATAGGCAGTGGTTTATTGTGGAGTTGTGTTTCTTCATAGGTGTTGAAGGTTAATCTATAGATTCTTCCCCGGTCAAAGAACCAAGCACCAATCCCTGCCTTCACTATAAGCTCCCTCAGGTAGAAAACTTTAGTACCAGTAGAAAGAGATTTTGCTATTGCAAGGCAAAGGCAAAAAATATTATTGTACCTAAATGTCTCATTGGTATTTTGAAATATACACTTAACTGCAGTAGAACATTGTGTCCTGAGACACATGAATGGCCTTTTCCTACAGTACTTATTTTACCTGAGTGCAATGAAATTGTCATATTCCATCAAAATTATGGATTTTGTAGAGGCTCCCAAATAGTTATGACATAAAAATTTTAAGCAGGAAGGCTCATATCCCACTTGTGGCAGTGCTATTAGTTGCCTGTTACATTGAGTATGGAAATTTTGGACACTATCTCAAGGCTTTTTTTGGAGAGCAGGAGAGAACAGTAGACAAAACAGTATTGTCAGTGGCCAAATAATTACATTAATTCCTCTGGTAATATAGATTTCATTGTGGTGCAGAGATACTGTGAATTAATGTAGAATTGGTAAAGATCTATCTTACCCAACTTTAATTGAATTGTGCTAGTTATTCAAAGCTTCATATGCAGTTCAGAAAATGCTTGATGAACTGACAGATTGGTTTGTCCTTTTTGGTGTATCTTTAAAATAACATAACCCTCTGTGCCCCAGCACTTGAAACACCTGCTGAACAGACCTTGTGGTTGATTTTGAAGTACTTGTAACATTAGTCCTGCAGTGAGCTCTTTGCCAAGAGTTCTTATTTTTGAATCGTGGCCCAAGAATGTCAGTCCATGATACGAAGTTAATGTACTTGACTATACATAGTATCAGCCTGTTTACAACAAGGCAGGATTAAAAATAGAAATGTAGGAAGGCACAGGCCAAGCTACTGCTACCTACTCTCTATTACCATATGTCCCTCACCTCTTGTCTGTGTAGTTTCTTTAGCCAATGGCTGAGCATCAAAAATTACTGGAGGTAGTTATGCAGCCTGTCTAGGTGTATGTTCCCGACACTTGTGCAACTTATTCCTGTGGACAAAAGTATTTGCATGATTTGAAAAGTGTACATTTAAATGACTAAGCTATAAATTCATTCTTTAAGCCAAACATTCAAAGGATTATCTATGGCTTTGTACACGTACTGAATTTGGACTTTACTTTGTAACTCATAATCATTGCTTTGGCACAGTTATAGAAGACCTGATGGTCACTTCGGCTATATATGTACTAGACAGAGAGTCAAGACACTCGCTTGAGTCCGTGTCTGCCTGTCCTGTTTAACTGTGAGCTTGTTTCCTGAAACAATTCTTGCTCGTGCCCATATGAATGATGCCTAAGTATGGCTCAGGATGGTGCAAGTCAGGGACTATTCTAAACAGGCAAGGCCATGCTGATTTGGAAGGGAGTTTAGGTGTTTGAATCTGAGATTGGCACTTGCCCTTGATCAAAGGGGCCACTACCATGAAGTAGTAGTACTGCTATTGCAGTGGGGCACCAGTGACCAGGAGTTGGAAAAGAATAAAGCAATAGAAACCTGGAAAAACTGACAAAAGGATCCTTGCCTGCCTCCATGGATTCAAACTCAGTCAAATTAGAAGCATCGTGGATGCCAGAAATCTTATGACAATTGTACATTTTGAGTTTCTCAGCATTGTGATTCTTTTCATTAAAATGAAAGGGAAAACTGGAAGGTGAAAACACGTTTTTGTGGAGAAGAGGATGTGGGAGAACAAGAATGTCTCCTACTGAAAACTTCTGAGCATACATTATAGGAACTTCATCATGAGGGGTTGAATTTAATCAAGAAATTAAATGTAGTGATTGAACTGTGATTTAATCCTGTTTCAAGCAAAAACCTCCACAATGTATTAAAAGTAATGTTGCTACCAAAATTGCCATAACGGTAGAATTTCAAAAAGAAATTGAAAACAAGAATACCATTACACAGATTGCTTGTGAATTCTGCAAAATGTTAACTACATTAGTACTAATCCCACGGTAGAATGCATATGCTAAATTCTTAACAAATTATATTTAAATCCAAAGTGCATAAAAGCAGACTGTGTTCTTGAATCCGAAAGTGCCAGGTAATCACTTTGTGCATCTCTGAGAGGATTACCTCACACAGAAGCCTTTATTTTAAATGCAGGCACCATTACAATGAATCACTCAGATTGCTCCAGTCCAAGAAGGAATGCATGAAAAACAAACGGCCCACAGAAAGATCTACAGAGGATTACCTTTCTTCCCAGCACTCAGGTTGGTTCATAACTGTGAACATGACTCTTTGTTTAGCATTAAAGACAATACAGCTTTACCAGACTAGACTAACTGATGAAAAAGTTGAATGTAGTAGCTGGTAAGTTTTGAGAGTTGGAGCTACCGGCTAAAAGCAAGCCATGCCAAATGCCAGCGTGATTGCTGCTGCATTTATTTTGTAGTAACTCTTGCATAGTCAGGAGACTTATTTTAGGGTTGTATTAATTCTTGGGTTTATAAGCATCTCTTCAGCTGTGTCAGAGATGTATGTTTTGGCCCTGCTGGTTTTGCAAAGTATAGGATGTATGATTAAAGAATATCGAAAAGTATGGAGATTATTTAGGATTGCAATTCTAGTGTTAGACAATGGATGAAGTATAAGGATACCACACCAGTGATGCTGATGCATTGGTGTTTACTGCATTTCTGGACAGAAAAGCTTCTGTTGACATTAGAAGTATGACAGGTTCTGGAAACACTGTCAGTTTTGTATTTCCTATGTTATCATATTCCCAAGCCCTATGACTTGCTAGGATACTGTTAGATTTTTGATACGTTACATTTTTCCTGTAGCACTTTTTGGATGTGAATAATACATTTAAGTTGTTCGTGGTTATACAAAAGTTTGCAGAAGATGAGTTGTATCTTTATAGATGGTAGAAGAAAAAATGTCTCAAGGCATCTGAACTGCAGTGGAATCTTGTGTCTGATGGGGTTAATGGTTGTTGGCAAATGATAAATCAGATTATTCCACATTGCTACACTGAAGGAAAACTAGTGAGAAAGTAGTAAAGATTATATTTTAATTTTGCATTACAAAAAATTATTTTACTCTTATTTTCTATAGTTATTTCAAACTTTATAGCATTCTATGTAAAAATGGTCAAGAAATCACATGTTTAAACTAGTCTTTCTTTCCCAATAAAGTTTAGAATTCAAATAATCATTTAATTCATCATTTCCTCTGAAGTCAGAAACAGAAGGCATAACAAACTGGGTGAGGAGGAGGACAGGTAAGAAACAGGTTTCTCTGTCTAGTACTTTGTGGCTGGACTTTTTTTTAATACTATCTGGCAGCTACCTGCAAAGAGCAATCAGTTTCTTTGAACAGTGGAAGGCGAGCATCCTGTTGTTACTTTTTCTGCCTTCAGGGCTTAGACTGACTGGGCAGTGATATGGAATTGGCTGTATTAAACCTGTCACCCACCAAGAAGGAATGGAGTGGTTTCTCTCCACTGCCTTTGGTCACTAGCATGGAATGGTGTGGGCAATGAGCAAAAGCTACTGAGAACTCCAGAGCAGAATACTTGCAAAATTCCTAATGACAGGCATCTGTTACCCCACCCCAACCCTGGAAAAAAAAAAAACAACCAAACAAAAAAAACACCAAACACCACCACCACCCCAAACCCAAACAACAAAAACCACCTTCCAACAATGGAATCTGTTGAATTGGGGTCTTCTGTGAAGTTTGTAGAAAGGCTCAGTCACCTAGTGGAAGCTTTCACAAAGGTCAGCTTGATGGCTGAATTTAGCAGTGGTAAAATTCCATAATACACAAATTTTCTACTAAATGTATGCCCACTAAACTGTAGGGCTTCTTTGCGTGCTGCTGAACCTCATGATTTTGTTCCACATGAAATAATTAGGTCACTTCAATATATAATGCAAATAAAAAGGTTCACTGAGGACAGGTATAGACAGATGATTGCAGTTTTAATAAACTTAGTGTCAGTGTCCAGGGATTTGCCATCCCTCCTTGATTCACAAAATATAGCTTCACATGCAATATTTCTTCTCCTACTTAAAACAGATAGTTGATTCTCTTCATTTAATTTTTAATTGAATCCCCTGCACCTCAAGTTTCTCAGTTGCCTTACATGAACAACTTTGTTGTCACCTCCTAAATGCTTTTCTCTGGCATAATCCAACAGCACTCTCCCTTAACTAGACCTTAAATCCAGCTGCTTCCTTTGTGCTAATAAAAAGTTATTTTTTCCTTTAGTTACCTTCACCTTTTTCCATGAATGACACTTCAAAGAATTGCAATTCAGTTCTGTCCACCATCACTGAACGTAGACCGATGAAAAACAAGCAAAAATGTCCCTGAACCAGATGTACCATGGCCTGGGATAAAGGCTATTGTACTTATCAAAAAATGGAGCATTGCAACAGCCATTTGGGTTTTATACCATTATCTGTAGTGGAAGCTGCAGATTATCATTTAGCAAAGTGCCCTTCAAAGGCCAAAGATCCCTTTTTTTCATTGGCATAGAAGATGTGGGGATATGTGGAAATATATTTGTAAAATTGACAGCCTTTTTATAAAGCCTGCAATCTGTTAATTTAGCTTCTAGTAACCTATAACTGCAATGCATGTACATTCAGAGAAAACCCATCAACATTATAAAAGCTCTGCTGTAATATTAGCTCTAATACAGCTTGGGACAGAGTACTGTTTTATTGTGGGGGTTAGCTGTTAAGTGAAAAGCAAGCGGTGACCTAAATCCCAGGTAAGGCTCTGGAAAGCAGGGGACTGGAAACAGTCTGAACTGAGGGCAGGGAACTGGAAAGGGAGAGTAGAATCTGTGAGTGGAAAGACAAGAAGATTGGAACTGGCATGAGGTAATAGATGGACAGAGGACAGCTTGAAAGGAATGGAGCAGCAAAGATGAACTTTATCATGATAGATCTTCAGGGTTGTATGAATCCTGAGGTTCTTGGCATCTCATCATTCATCAGCTCTCAGAAGTATCCAGGCCATTCATCCAGAGTTTCATACTCTTGCAGTCCTGGCCCACGCAGGAATCATGGACAGCTTTTGCAGGTACTTCTGCAGTAGCTCAAGTGTCAGAGATGAGAGCATTGAATCTAAAAGTTCCAACCTTGCAGATGTGGGTATCAAAATAAAATTTACTGTGTGGTTTAGGGGGGGTGGGGGCTGGAGGCTGGATTACTACAAAAAATTCACATTTCCACCAAGTACTCTAATTATAAACTCCTAAAAACCCCATAATTATATTTTTAAGTATGAGGACAGTCTAATGTGATTCTGTCAGGCATTAATATTTCAAGATATCCTTGTCCCATTCTCCTTCTGTAGTAATGCTGCATTCAGAGCATGGGAAGGTGTAGTGCAGTACCCCTGCCACCTTTGTTGTAGAGGTTGGCAGGTATGTGGTGAGGGGTGTGAGAAGAAATGCTTGCAGTAGTTAACTGAATGGTATATACTAAATCTCTGCAAAACTAGAGTGTATTTTAAAGTATTCTTTTCATGCATCATCACTGGTATGTTTCTTATTTTTCAAATTGCTGATTTAAGGTGTTTGTGTAAGACTTGTGGATGTGCTAACCATCTACAGACACAAATAAATATAAAATGGAGATGGTATCTCCATCCTTCCCCTTCACTTCACATGAATACAAGGCTGTGAAAATACCTAGTTGATGTTTATAAATTACTCAGATGCTGCCATTATGAGTGCTGTAGAACGGACTTTGAGGAAAGAAGTAGTTCTGTACTGGGGCTTACGCAGTAGGCAGCAAGTAAGAAAAATGTACCAATGACGTATCATTCTTGCTCATTATTCAAGGTACAGCAAATTTGGCTTTAGATCTCTTTGTACTAGCATGAAAATGCCCTGGCTGTGTGACACAAAATATTATCTGTATATTATCCTGCAGGTTCAAATTTCTCTAAAAATAAAATAAAACTTAGTAGGTCAACTAACTAGTTCATTGTACCATAAGGGTAATTAGATTAGATTAGCTACAGTCTGTCATGGTTTAGATGATACAGATGCACAAACCCAGGTGGAATTCCAGGTAGTTCTCTGGCTAGTGTGACCGTATGCAAGCACTGTGTCTGTGTGGCAGTGTGCAGTAGGGCCACCGCTCCCCGCAGGTTGGGGGGCCCAGGTGCACCAACACATTGGCACACAAGCTGGGGTTGGTCCCACAGTACCTGAGCAAAGTGAGCGGGGCAGGCTGGGGTTTAGGAGCCAGGTTCAACCAAGTCTAGTCGTTGTGCTAAAATAATTGCCCTCTTTATTTGCTGCTTCCCCTTTTTGGCTTGCTTGAGTGGAGGAATAATTCTCCTTTAACACTGTACAGATAATATTTGATATGCTGTGAGTGATGATGAAATAGGTGGTAAAGTAATTGTGACTAGACATACAAAATGCAAGCTGAATTTTTCTTGCAGCCTTTTGAAAGAAAACTGGAGTAAAGGTAAATGATTTTTTGTTTTTTTTTAAAAGAGAACAAAAAGTGATGAATTAAAACCAATTTTAAGCATAAACTTCCCCCCAAAAAATGAGGAAGTATAGAAATCTCTCATTTTCTGTTGTCTTTCCAGTTCTACCAGAATTAAAGCTGCTTTGTGGGGCTGATTTTCTACAGACATTTAAGACACCCAATCTCTGGAAGGAAGAACACATCAAAGAAATCGTGGAAAAGTTTGGTTTGGTCTGTATTAGCCGTGCTGGTTCTGACCCTGCTCGGTATATCAATGAATCAGACCTTTTAACTAAATTTCAGCACAATATCTTTCTGGTGAAAGAATGGATTCAGAATGAAATCAGTGCAACACAGATACGCTATGCCTTGTGCAGAGGATTAAGTGTAAAATATCTCGTACCAGATTCTGTTATATCCTACATTGCACAGCATAATATCTACACAGAAGAGAGCGAGCGGAAGAATGAAGGTGATTTGCTTCGGCCTCTTAAATTGCGTAACACAACAGTAAACCCACTAAATGACTGATGTCTGTAGTGTGTGAAGTAGACAGACCTGGCATTTTTTCATGTAAAGTTCTTGAGAAAGTTGTTTCTTGTTAATGAGGGGAACATACACAAGTCCAAAATTTCTTGACTTCATGTGGTGTTTGAAATTTATGGTTTTGTGTGTGGTAGTGCTTAAGCAAATTGGGATGCTCAACTGCATGGATTAAGTAAATAAAGTATAGCTTCCTTGTGAAAATAAGTAAGATCTTAACAATAAATAGTAATCTTAAGCAATATTAATCTCCAGTAATACTTAAGGGTCAAACCTAGTACTTTCCTGAATTGTAATTCTGTAATCCTACAGTTTTAGCATGAAGATGCCTTACTGTTCTGAAACAGCAAAATAAAATGGACTGTAACTTATATATATATATATATGACTGCTGAACATTGACTTTTTAGGACCCTGAATAACTTTTTGTATTTTGGCTGTTTGGGCAAGATATCGAAATAAGTATCTTTCATGCAAGCACTTAAAACTGCAGGCAGCATTCTTGTCACTTTTAAGCTTCCAGATTCACAAATGACAGACCTTATCCCCAGATTTGAAGTGGGTTTGTTTGCTTCTCTGATCCAGAATCTTCTGTAAGAGTAAGTAATTGCCAAAGCCCTGCAGTAGATAACATATCCAAGAGGAACTTCAACTGTACCATTTGAAAATGCACAGTGGAAAATGAATGAAAATAGCTAAGAGGCTGTCTGAGTATTTAAGCCCTAATGTTACCCAGAAATATCTATTCTCTTATATGTCGGTTGCTTATTCTGCTGATATCTCATTTTTGACTGAAGAAACCTTCAGAGAATACAGAATTTCTATGAAGTGCTACTTCTGTGTTTTAGTGTTGCTTAAATTAACTGAAAGCATTCATTCAGTAATGATGTAACACCAATATACAGAATTAACCACTGCTTCTTGATATGTTTCCACCTAACTGCCCCTTTTTGAGCCCTCAGTTGGCCAAACAGCTTCCACTCTAGAATTAAGGTGCTTGTTAAACAAGTCAGAGTAATACCAGACACAAATTGCTTTCACTGAATGAGTCTGTATGATCATTTTCTGAAAAGGTGGTGTAAAGTAGCTGGAACATATGCAAGGAAGAAGGGTTCACTTCAAAAACCATACCAAATAAGCACTTTTATAGCTTTGGCTAATATCCTAAACCAAAGCTATTTAAAAGGTTTTCTCTGAGTGGCATGACAAATGAAGAGTAATATGCTTAAAATGGATCTCCCAAATAATCAGTAGCTGTACACAAGTTATATGGAAAGTGAATGTTTCATTCTGTATAAATCAAGTCATCCTTCCATTGTTAGAAATCTCAGAGGTTTGGCTTGTGGAAGGATTTAAAGGCAACACTTCAGCAATAATCGGATTAGAAGGACTTGCATAGCTACATAGTCTAAAAAAGAGATAAAAGAAACTAGAGTTCAAACTTGCCACAAAGACAGCGAGCTCTGTGGTGCAGAACAACACACTGTTGTATGACTTTGATTTTGACAGTTACCTAAAGTAAGGATGCCTGCAGATTTCAACGGTTACTGGAAAATGGTCAGCAACGACAATTTCGAGGAGTACCTGAAAGCACTGGGTAAGGTTCCCTTCATGTTTCTTTAATAAATAATTAATAAATGCAACTTGTCCTAGTCTTCACATAAATCTGTTGTTTCTTGTACAGTCATAAATCATTTCTGTAAGAAATATTTTTTTCAGGAATGCACTCTAAGAATTGCCTTATGCAAAATTGTTTTGTCTTAAGCAGCCTCTACTTTTTCCATCGGGAAGCTTACATTAACAGAGATTAAACCACATAGCTTGAAGAGGTAAGTGACTGATTTCAAACTTAAACAACCATAATTTGAAAAAGAATAAAATTTTCATGTGTAATAAGGAGACAATAATGTACTTGGTGCAATTTTGTGGTTTTGCATTTGGTATGAAGTACTAGTATTTCTGTAGAAATATGGAAGGCATTATTAACTGTCAAGTACACTGTTTTTTCAGGATTCCACATAATCAGAAAATCAAAACATTAACTTATTTAAATTAAAATAATTAGGTTATGGACTATTTCCAGGTGAGAAAGCTGGCCTGAAAGAACTGGACACTTACTTATCTTTGTTCGTTTTAGCTCTCTCAAGCGCTACAAGATTCTTTTTGTGATAGACTTTTTCTGGATCAAAATAATTCTTTTTCTTTTTCAGATGTAAATGTTGCTGTAAGAAAAATAGCAAACTTGCTAAAACCTGACAAAGAAATCCTTCAGAATGGGGATCATATGATCATTAAAACGCTAAGCACTTTTAGAAACTACATCATGGAATTTGATGTAGGAAAGGAGTTTGAGGAGGATTTAGCTGGGGTGGATGATCGCAAATGCATGGTAAGAATTAGAACTGCAACAATGGACAAATAAAAATAAATACTAATAATCTGAGGCCTTTCACAGACCACATCTGTTAACCATTTTGTGTGGCTATTCCTAAAATTATTTCTGTACTTCTCAGTTTGTTGAGAGGTGCACACAGTTTTTAGCATGTGTTTACATTAAAGGAATGCTAATTCTAATAAGGAGCACAAAACAGTTGTATCAGTGAACGAATAGTAGTTTCAGTGAAACATGACTCAGTTGTACTGGGATATTTGTTAGTGAAAAAGACATTTAGGTTCAGACTTTTGGAATGTCTTCACTGAGTAATGTTTCACATTAAAGGAAATAGATTGATTGCAGGGTCAGGCACTATTCCCCATGTGTTAGAATGGCCAAGTGCTTAGAAATTGCAGCTTTTCTTTTTTGCTCTTGTTCCTGTGCTTTTTCCTTCCTGGGTGTATTTATTAGAGCAGATGTGTTAATTAGCCTACTGGAACAAATCTAACAGCAATCAATAAGCAAACACTAAGGACTCTGCCTTATGAGCTCTTTTTGCTTGCCACAGAGAAAATATTTTCTAACTTATGGCTGATAAATACCAATTAACAGGGCAAAAATTTGAGAATAACAAGTTCTTTCCTGTTAGTTTGAAAGCATGACACCTGCAATATCCTACAGTGAAGAAATCGATACACAAAAGAAAATTATCTTGGGAGGAACTATAGAGGAGAAATCACATAAAAGAAAATTAATAGGCCATTTAAATAGTGCCATTTAAAACTGATACTGTTCTCTTACACTAGGATATGCAAATTTACTTTTGCTCTCGTAGTAGCAGGAAAGGGAAAGACTGTGAAGATCAGAAAAAAAAAAAAATGGCTAGCTAGTGAGTGTGTCAACTAATCCTTCTGTACTCCTTGATACAGAGTAGAAGCATGACAGAGTGCAGAATGCAAAATTCACAGAAGGGAGAAGCAATGTGTATTTGTGTATAGGAAAGTGCTCCAATGTCATAATGCATTTTTGACTGCTGGAAGACTCTTCATCAGGATGATGGGATCCAGACCCACTGAACAGTTACGAGCCCGGAGCAATACTTGGACTGAGTGGCTAAATTACTATCAAAGATAGCAGTGTTCAGAATATCTGCTCCAGTGCTGAAAATATCTGAAGTTCTCAGTGTTTCTGTTTAGAGAAGTACTAGTTTGTGTGTATACAGAATGGTGTCCATCTAAGCATTATCTGTTCTTAAATACCATTAAACTCCATCTAAAGGACTAAACTACCCTCTACATGTCAGAAAGAAGTAATTGAGCTCTGAAGGTGTCTAGCATGTACCTGCAAGGAGTTCAGACAACCACTGTGATGAAAAATCATAAGCAGAAGACATGGAAATGTGGCCCTTGCCTAGTCCTGCTTTTGAAACGCTGAATAGATTTAACATATAACTCTTAATTCCCTGACAAATGCCCTCAATATTTTATTATTTGGAACAGGCCAAAATTCTCTATGCTATTTTTCTAAATTGAGTGATGGGGAAGAATTCAAAATGTTGAACCAGAAAGAAGACATTACAGAAAGATTATTCACGTCACTACAACAGCTATTTCATTTGGATTAGAACCTAGTTCATCCTACTTCCAAGGGTTGCTTAAACACTTTATCTATTGGCTGTTTATTGCAAAATGCTTACTCAGCCTTGGAAGCAGAAGGTAACAGCATCATCTTGCCTTTTCCAAAAGAACCCAAGGGGTAGTCAGTAACCCTGACTGTCTGGTTTGTTAAGAATAACTTGGGCAAGTAAAACCACACAAACACTCAGAAATCCCCCATGTCTCTTTATGGACTCCAGTAACAGATACCAACTGCAGCTGTACAGATAAGGTCACTGATCACTGGTTCTCTGTTTGCTTTTTAGCAACGTATCATGCTTTATAGTTCAATTTTCTTACCAAAGGTTTCTTTTCTACATGAGACCTCAGTTTTCTCAAAGGCAAAGTAGTACAAGAAGCTGTTTTTCTGAAGCCGCTTCAGCCCAAATCTGATAACCATTATGTCAGGCAAAACTTGGAATTGTTTAGCAGCAAAATAACATCAACGATCCAGAAGGACTCTTGTCAGAGAAGGGTCATGGAGGTGATATAAGAGATACCAGACCACTCCTTGAGTGGTGTTACAAAGAAAACCATCATAAAAGCAAAGGTTGAATATCATTCTTGGTGTTTCCTTTTCTCATCTATAGCTTATGAACCTGCATGACACAAATGGCTTAATCATTAATAGCCTGTGTAATGGGAGAGGTTGTGAGTCAATTATTGTTATTTATAATGTGGACTGAGCAGACCACTGGGCAAGTTTTATCCAAGAAGCTCAGTGTATGAGAAGTACAAAGTAACATGGATAAGACAGCTTACACATTAAACATTAATCTATATAGCAGAGCAATCATCAGGAAACTAGCAAATATAACCGTAGAAGTAATTTATCCAATAGGTATAGAACATTTTTTCTTCCAATAAGAATGTATCATCTAACTAGAGTTAACAGCAGTAAAAATATTAGAACGGTGAACAGGTTAGATATGTATAATTCACTGAAATTGTGCTCACCTTCCAATTGTAAAACAAGTCTTTGAGTCAGAGTGTGACTTCAATAATTCTAAATCGGTATTCTCTGTGATGAGTAAAGTCTAAAAAGTTTTGCTGATACTTATTTAGAAGTTGAAGGTTTGACAGTAGGAGTTGATATTCCTGTGATAGTACAGCCCCCCACCCACTGTCATTTCGATTAAGATTTTTCCATTTTTATAGTTGGTCATTCCTGGAAGCCTGTCTGAACTTTGTGGAACAGTGACTTAATTGAGCTGGATAAGCCTTAACAGTTTCAGTTTGTCCCCTTTTTGACCTTTAACTGTCACTTTCTTGTATGCAACGTGGTTTTAGGTGATTTTTTTTTTTTTTTTCTTAAGGGATGTAAGTAACAGCAGTTGATGACATCAGTTCCCTTAAGATTTTGTTTCTGTTGGAAAGTAAAAATTTGCTACTTTGAAATCTAAAGAAACTCAAAACCCCTGCTAGTTTAGTTAAATATGCAATTTCTCTGTTCTGTAAAACTAAAGATGAGGACAGTTGACCACACAGATACATAAACACAGGAGAAATTGCTAATCACAGTACAAGTTACTTCCAAGAAGACAGATGATGCTCAATGCACTCTAAGCATTACTGAAACCAAGTGTGGAGCAAGCTGCAGCACAGCCTAGTCTCTTTAAGAAATGCAGACAAGACATCTGCATTCGCTTAGCTCCATAATGCTATCATGAGTCTCCTGGAGTTTCTCCCCAGAGATTTTATCCCCTAGATAAAAGTTAAGTAAGTTTCTCTATTTGTTAGGCAATTTTGTGAAAGATATGTTTCTGCAAGTTTAATCATACTTAATATTTAAAGCTGTTAAAAACCTGGCAGTTTGAACTGCAAAGGTAAAATTAAAGTTTACGTATTCAGGAACATCTTCTATTCTTTGCAGATGTTACAAAGTGCACATTAGATGGTGTAGAAAGATGTTTAGAACATTAATATTAAATTATTTCTCATATGATATAAAGTTTGAATCAGACCAGGTGAGGAAGTTTTTACTACTTTGAAGAGTTTGTTCCTTATTTTAACTGGCAACATATATCAGATGTATAGTGTACAAGATAGAAATTTAAAGGTAAAGGGATAACTATGGCTTTGGTATTTGCTGAACTGAGTATTTGATCCTGCTATCTTCATTCTTGGTGAAACTCCAGTCTCATTGTGAAATTTCCTCAGTTTTAAAGATAAATTCTGTAATCTCTAGCCGTGATTAATTTAGTAAGCATCTTGGGTATTGCACTAAGTATAAAACCTTTTTATAGGCACATAAACTTTACTGGGGAAAAAATTTACCGTGCAGAAAAGAGGCGAGACCTTATTGAGACAACAATTACTTGAAAACCATCTGTGAAAGTGTGTCTCATTCATCACCAGATAACTTTATCTCCCTTTTTCCCCATCAGTAATAATCAGCAAAGCTGAGGAAACATCTACAGTGTGAAATATGTACCAGTAAACATAAGAATAGGGCAGGATTGGACACAAAGCAGAAAGTTAGCCTTATGTGTCTTCAAGGTGTATTTGCTTAGTACATCAGTCAGAAGTTTATAAAAAAGGCTAAAGGCTGAAGTTTCATGTTCCAAGTCTTTGCACCCAATGAATCAAAGCAGATTGAGAATAGGATAGCTCAGATGCAAAATTACTTCCCTAGAAATTTTACTTTTCTAATCATTTTGCTGCTGAAGTCAGAGAAAGTTTTTGCATTATACTTTTTCTCTGCTGTTCAGGCATTTAAATGAAGACTGAATTGCTTTAGCTCACACTATCCAGAATTAATCTGTCTTTTGACAGAGACTAAGGGCAAGTGATCTGTTTAAAAAATCAAGGAAGATTCTGTGTTCTAAATATGGAACAGAAGAATTTCTCAGATAACAGAAAACAGCGTTAGTTGAGTTAGAATTGAATATTTGGCTAAGCGAGTGAAGGATGCTTCAGTAACTCAGAGCCTTGTGCTCTCTGGCATAGTAATTTTCTTCTTACATTGAAGCAGGAAATGAAATTACAATGACTGGGGACTGGTAAACAGATAAAAAGGCAAGAATTTGAAACTGAAGGTGGGAAATCATACGCATTAACCATTTAGTTACTCAAACCTGAATACAAGCAGAATATAACCATGGATAAGTTATCAAATGGTTGTTTAGGTCCTATTATTGGAAGACTTGCTGGGGTGGGTTAAGGAGTGCTAGAATTCACTCATCAGATCTATCCTACATTTTACCATATGAAGTATTTTCCTGAAAATATATAGTCATTTATCGTTTCAGACAGCTACATAAGGGTTGTTCATAGGCACCTGACCAATCCTATCACACACCACCAGTGCTAGTTATATCTGCCCTATCCTAGTGAAAGGAGGTAGATGGTTTGAACCTC